CGTTAGTTTTTCCTCCAACCTCAGGCAAGCTTCTTTCAAATTTTCATCGGTCTTATTCAAATCATAGAGGAAAGACCAAGTCTCATTAATTGTAGTAAGTTGTGTGAAGCGTGTCTCTATTGAGTTTATAGCAGTGTCTAACACAGGATAAAAAACATTTGTTCTGAATAACGTTTCTGGATCCATTGGCGCGTCATCTTCATTTGGGAACATTTTTTTTTCTTTTTTCGTGCGCGGATTGTTTCAAACTCCGGGCTTATTTCAGCTTCTTTAGCTATGTCCTTAGCTGCAATGAGAGCATTTGTTAATCCTTCGTCTGTATATTCTTTCAAAAATTTCAAACATTTGTGCATCATTTTTGTTGCATCTGACAGGTCTACGCGCTCTGATTGCATGGATTTGTCGACAAGATTAACATGGAATAAAACGTCGTACCAAATGACTAACGACAGCAAAAACTCGAACTTCTCCAAATTGTGTGCAAACGATTTAGCTTCTGAACATGCCACGGGATCACTGTCGGTATTCTTCTTCCAATGTACTTTTTACTTCGGCGTACATCGCTTGCCAACTAAAACAGCGGCGCCTGCGGTGGCAACTCTGATGATGTAACCTAGGGGGGTGAAACCCCGCTCACGCACTCGACCCACGCGCGTCTCAACAGATAAGGCCATTCACATACTACCACACGCTTGCAATTAATTTAAAATATCGAAAAGTGAAAAAAATATTTTTTCCTTTAATTTTCTTTACCACTGAGGCGCCCTCTAGGGCTTAGCGCCTGGAGCGGCTGCTCCATTCGCCCTATGGTAGGGCCGGCTCTGCAAACACTCCCACCCTTTGTAAGGCATCTTAATAATTAACAATTATTTGCGTACCAACCCGTATCTGCCTAACGTAATTTATGGATAGTTTCCTAAGGGAAATCGGCGGGAAAAAATTAAATAAGCTACAGAGAAATGTTTTCCCGAATGGTTAAATAATAAACTCCTCTTGTCGAGTGAGTCAGTGTGATAAGCCCTAAAAGTTTAACTGTGTATTAACACAAAAAAATTGTAATAATAATATACACATTAAAAAATATTCAGTAACGAGTTGCGTAACTTTCCTGGTAACATTTAAAACTGCGTGGTGCCGTTATCTGTTTTTATATTTTTATTAAAAAGTTTTTTATGTTATTAATTATTATAAAATGACAAAAAAACTTAATTTTGAAGGTAGAGATGGGTTTTATAAAAATATTAAATGCAAATGACGAGTAAACTCTTAAGTCCGACCCACTCGAGATATGACACACGATCCTCTTTTATTTCCCCATCTCCCGGACGTTTAATTAACCACCAAAATTTAATAGCACCAATTCCCTTAATACGCAAACTTCCCTACAAACGTCAGAAATTTTTGACAAAATGCACAGGAGTTATTAAGTTTCAAAGTGGATGAACAAAA